TTTCACAAACCTGGGAGTAGCCCTTTCGCCTCATTACGTTCAGGCTAACAACAACATGTGTACTGTTTGGAGATCCTTGATCAAAAACAGATTCAAATGGAAACTTACTTTCCTGCTCTGGATTGTATAGTAAGAAACAAAACAAGATATTTGGTGTATCGGAAGACAGAATCTTGCATCCTGATGTTTCAGATGTCAGGAGTCATCCACGAAACACCTTTCGATTTTGGCTTTAAGACTCCAGGAATTATTCCAGACACATTTTGCCGAACACTCCATCCCCCAATTATGCCGAATGTAAGTGAAAGGCCAATTACATTGACATAGTTCTTTTTCACTGTGTACTTTTTGCAATCACTGACTCTTGTCCGAAATTGCAGCCTCGGTCGTTTTTTAAGTGTAACACATAACCAACAGTCGGTCGAATTAGCTTCTGTCTATCATTTGTTTCATACAAAAAAGTAATTGGGAAAGAATTGTGCAGTGAGTGGTTTCTTGTGACTGACAGGATCGTAATCAGGCGAAGAAAAGTTGAACGTGCTGCGCGAACCTTAAAGTATAAACACCTTTAATTTGAAACCAAGGGATCACCGGGTGTCAACGGTGGGCATGTGTCTACACCACCACAGTCCCCTAATATTAATGAATGTCTGTCTGAATGTCTTTCGTTTCTCCGACTGTTCACAATAGAACGGTTTGAATACAAACACTTTAGGTCACGGTGGCATTCCTTACGGAACATAAGACAGCCTCCGTTTGGTGGAGATAAATAAGTTGTGGACCACACGCGCAGGGTTTCTGACGCCCCTAACTCAATATGAAGAGCCAAAAACTGGAACTTCACGTTACCAGGGTTCGCACGTGTGTAAGTATGCAGAAGCCGCTTAGGTAATGAACAGAGATCACGAGGGTCGGACCGTTGTTTGGTTGGATGGACGCACACTCAATTTCACGATTATTTATTTGGCTCGCAGTGCCTATCGAAACTACTGGTATAAAATTCTAAGGCTGAAATTTCTTGTCAACGCGTTAATCCTGGGAAATTTCTCCAGATTCCGGTCTACCGTTTAGAAGCTGAAAAATCGTTCGCAGGTAGGCTGCGTCACATCATCTTTCCAACACGAAGATGAAAAAGAAGAGATTTGAAAAACTGCTTGTGACTGATACGCTTCGCAGTTGGCAGACTGCATGACAGATCAGACAAGTGATGGGCTAAAGTATCAATGGAATGAACGAAAGACACAATGTATTGTATGTATGCATGTGAGTTAGGTAGTTTAGTTCGCAGGCTGAGCATTGCTCAGGCTAAAATCCGGAGAATTACACCTTCAGATGGACCACCATACACTGCAACGTGATATAAGTGACCGCAGGTTACTATAAGTAGAAGCCAGTGAAAAACAATTGGTGTGGCTCAACTACTTCAATGTCAGCCTTTGGTACTTACTGAACCTATGATGTACTAAGTGCCCTGAGACTTCTGATGTTGGTCTCTGAAGTAGGACCCAAACTTCATGATATGGAAGAGCCATTATCCATTCACAGCAGCGGGAAGAGACATATATCATCGTAGAAATACGGTTTGGTTCATCAAAGTTCGGAGTTTCGGTGTTTCGCTCTAAGTTAAGGAATGAAGATGCCAGTTTGAGGCCGGAACTTAATGAGACAAATTAACTACCAGTTAGAAGAGCGCACATTAAATCCTGAGACAACGGACCATCCATGGTAAGAATCTGAATGTCCATTTCATTGCAGAAACCCTACTTGGCATTATCCGAAAACGTACGCTACAGCTTACAAATCTTTCTCGAAGAGCTTTGTTCCGAAACACACCCACTTGCGTAGTAATTTGTTTTTAACCGGGAAACTCATCTGCGTCACAGCTGAAACTCTCTGGTTTATGCTATTCTCGAGCTGAGTGTGCTGCACAAATGCCGCCCGATGTTTCAATCGGTAAGCTATTTCGTATATTATAACAAATTAGTTGGAACTACTGCACTTCTAATAATATTACTGGAAATGATTCGACCAGTCGCCCTTCTTGGGACTCATCAGGTAAGCGCGGTCCCGACGTTGTGTCTCACAATAATTCCGATTTAACGAAATTCGTGAAGCACATACTTGCTCATCAAACCGAAATTAGTATGCAATTGAGAGTTAGTGATGAATTTCGTCCGACTGGGGTTCCAGTAGAACATAAATTTGACGGAAACTCTAGGACCACGCGCCGAGTAGGACGGAGCCGGCCACGGGTTATCGAAAAGTTTTCTTCCAGTAGACATAAATTTGACGGAAACTCTAGGACCACGCGCCGAGTAGGACGGAGCCGGCCACGGGTTATCGAAAAGTTTTCCGTAACCTCATGGGTAGTTTTCCTCAGTGTTTATTCTGGTTTTCGCCAGTTCCTCAATCCCATGTATATTAGGTGTCCCCGGTTTATATACTTGCCCCATTTAACAGACTATGCAGCGAAATTAAAATCATCTTCCAGCAGAAGGAGACGAAGGACAATAGTTTTTTTGTCAAAGCCTTATTTGACCTACTCAATCAACAGAAATTACGAGTCGCTAAGGTCAGCAAAACCTGAGGTTCAGCAAAAATCTGGTCCAGTGTTTTCTCAGAGAACAAAGTGACTTGATATAAAATGTTTCACACATGCTATAAGCCTCGAGCCCCTTCGATGCTGTCAGCAATTTATGGTAGAATTGCACGAGTGATTGCTAAAGAATATTTTATACCCATTCCCAAGTGAGGCGATTTTTTTCTGCTTCTTTTCAGATGCAAATTTAAGAGCACCGCGATGCAACTACTGCCTTGAGACCTTATTGATTTGCATTCAAATGATGCCGAGACACACACACTGGGAGGAAAGTCTTTTGTGAATTTTATCAAACTTCGTGGGGAAGGAATGACGTGCAATTCAAAAAAATTGCTTCTGACGTGATGGTGGTTTTCTGTGGAACTTTGTATATCTGTGGACAAACGCTCTAAAAAAACTCGGGTGTATGTTCACTTGAAATTTACCGCTACGGCTGCAAGTATTCACATTCATTAACATTCCAGTTGAATGTTGGAAACAGAATATCAGATCAGCATGATTCATAAGCAATTTTGCGTTTAATATGTGCTTCTTTCCCGCCCTCGTGCTTCTGGAAGGAGTTGATAACGTGAGTATATAGGTACCGATATGAAAAGCAAATTCGACTTGCTGATAAAAGTGCTGTGTCAATACGTCACTCTCACATCAGGAGCAGTGTAGTTCGTGGCATATGAATCGACTTAATACAGGCTGGTGAGAACTCATGGTTAGAACAATTCAGCGAAACTAATGGAACTGGTAAAATCAATCAGCTTGAAGGATTACTCATTGTAGAAGAAGCCCACCGTAAAATTCGGCTAAAAGTTGGTTCTGAGTTGGTCTGAAGTTGGTCCACGAAGCCACATTAAAATGGGAAACTGATTTGTGATTGCTGTGCTTTCAGAGCCTTAGATTATTTTGCAAATAAGCCGATCATGATGCAACGAAAGTAACTGGCACTTGGCCTTAAAAACCTTGGAAAAATTAGATACAATAGGCAAAACATCTGGACCATTACAGAATATCGAGAAAATAAGTCAACTATGAGTTTGGTCGTTGGTTCGCTCGCCGAGGTTGGCAGCTAGATTGCCGAAAAAAACAATTCGCGCACCCAAACTGTCCATTTTCCACGATATCGCCAAATAGGAGTATATAAGGTGCATCAGAAAGCGTTGACGCAAATGATTTTGAAGGCCACTTTCTGTGTTGTTTATTCAGGAAGGGGATTACGTAGAACCGGAGATAAAACCAGCGCACTATCGGCCGGCAACAATTTCAGCCAATAGAGAGGCGAATTGGAGAAACCTTACTCCAGCCAACCAGCTAAACGCTCACTCAAGCTTCCACTATCTGATAACGGTTCTAGTCAATACTGCAGTTAAAACGACCGGCGACTTACACCAGTAAGACCGGCCAGCTTCGAATACAGCACGGCCAATCACAAAAGAAAGTATATGAAATCCAATGCAGGATGCAACCAATGGTGAACAAAATTTTTCATAGTCTAATGAGAATCCATGATTTCGTGTTACTAAGCTGATATTTCCCTGGTGTGAAGCAAGCCTTCTTTATCGACTTCCGAGGACTCAAAACAATTAGGTTACTACTGACAATGTCCCTGTCACGGTAGATCGAAACCAAAATGAGCTTGAGATTGCTAGAAGACTTGTGGCCCTGTGAAATACTTGTTCAAAGTGCAAATACTGTTGATTGCTTATCGAACAGACATACTGAAAGCGTTGACATTTTTATAGTAGAGATTACCCGATTACAGCTAACTTGCTACAGCGGAAACCTCAGCGTTCGGTCAAGTATTTCAGCTCTTGTAAATAGTACCCGTTTGCTAAAAATGTTACATAAGTAGCAGGCGTTCATTTGTAGGAAGTTTAATAGAAAACCTGCTAATACCAAGGTGGGTGTCGCAAAGGATTGCCATTAGTACATGGCTTGTTCATTAATTAGCCATCCCAGACAATATTTCACTTTATATCAAACGTTAATGATATTTTACTTTATCCGACAAAAGTTTCATCTCTTCGCTAGCTTCATTTTTTCACAAAAAGCAGTTGTCCCCTTGGGACTTGTCGACGCAAATCATTTGTGCTGTCCGAGAAGTCGTTGCATTCAACCATAACCTTGGTCATGGAACTGTGACGGATATAAAAGTATATTTTCCCTATGCATGCCACCACTCGTAAAGTTGGTGAAAACTGTTCGACAGCTCATTGTCAATTTCATCCCTCTTGGGGCCATTAGGTAGACGTAAATTGTGTAATTCCGGAGGCCTTGTGTTCTGCTTGAAACCCAGTTGACAACAACTGGAGAAATAAACTCACTTGCGAACTACAGGAAATAGAGCCTCCTCTGTGTGCTAGGTTTTCATCAACTCTGTATGCCATGATTAAAAACCAAGAAAACATACCGGGAGACGTAGAATTTCTCACTGACTGAAACACGGAGCAACCTTTGTGTCGTCCAAAGTTCATTATATTAGCCATCACGATGTCAAACTATGTCTGAGGGCAACACATATTAAAAGGCCCGTGAAACATCAGCCGTTATGTCTTTCTCCCCGTCTTTATTCTCCTCCTTCCCGCCAGAACAGGTTCTTGTTTTTTTGTGCAACATTGTTGTTTATTGTACCAGATCCTGAAGAATAGACACAGACTGTGTTCTCTTCCTCGCTCCCTTTCGGCCAGTGTCAATCTGTTCTGCGAAACAAAGTGTCCCAACATTTTGAAATTTCCTAATTATCTCCGAGATCACTGTCCTCGGGCAATATAATCCCCAATTCACTAAAGGTACACACTAGTGAACCGGAATGAATGACAGTCCAGGTTTACTTACCAAACCCCATTGCTCGTAGCACCTTCATATGATGCGGCAATTCCTCACCAAGTGACGAATCACGGTCAGTTGCAAGGTAAGTTGGTGTTGTTAGTGACGGAACACGAAGATGATTCACAGCTGAATCTCTTGTCTCGGAGATTTCCCCAACGGAATCAAGGTAAATCAAGGTAAATCAAGGTTATATTGGTCTAAAAAGCATTTTGCTTTACAATGACCAAAGGATATTGGTGTGTGTGTATGTATACAGATAAACGGAATGATATGACATATATGTTCTATTGTTTGTAATCTGCATCTCAAATGTTGATGAGGGAAGTTGGGTGAGATCTTATGTATTCGTCAAGCGAATGTTTGAAAGTCTCGAGGTTACCACAATCCACAACAGATGTTGGTAGTTTGTTCCACGTGAGGGATACGCGGACTGAAAAAAAGTAGCGCCGACAGTTAATGCGGGAACATGGAATGTCAACGGCCAATGGATTCCGTCGGGTCTGTCGGGCCAAATTAACTGTGAACAAATGTTTTAAAGGGTGATTAGGGGTGTTTATTATCTTGAACATCAGGATGAGGTCTCCTCGTATACGCCGATAAGTTAAATCAAACAAATCGAGTTTACGTAGCCTTTCACTGTAGGGAACGTTTCGGAGGCCAATGACCAGCTTGGTCGCGCGGTGGTAGATACGCTCTAGCAGTTGTGTATCCTTTTGCAGCCATGGAGACCAGGCTTGGATCGCGTATTCCATTGTCGGCCGGAGATATGTGTTCATGATAATAGGGAGAATTTCAGGCGTAAAACGATAAAATATTCTCCTAAGCATCCCGAGCAGTGCCGAGGTCTTGCGATATACTGATAGACAGTGTTTACTCGGCTTCAGGTTGCTAGAAATCCAGACGCCGAGGTCTTTTTCCTCAGCCACCCATTCCAGTTCATTGGATCCCAGTTTGTATGGGAAGTGGTAGCTCTTCCCCAGATTTATGAGTTTGCATTTCTGGAAATTCAGCGGCAGCCGGTTTTGGATGGACCATTCGTCGATTCTTTGCAGATCTTGCTGTAGCGCATCACAATCAGCCTTTCCATGAATTTCAGACCAGATTTTTATGTCATCAGCAAAAAGTACGGTTTTGCACTGCAGAAGTTTCGGCAGGTCATTCATGTATACCAGGAACAAAATTGGACCAAGAACCGAACCCTGAGGGACACCACTTGTGGCGGCAATTTTATCGGAAAACGCTCCATCGACACGAACTTGGACCGAACGGTCACTCAAATAGTCTTTCAGCCAGCTCAACAGATTTCCCGTCACGCCATACATTTCAAGTTTCCGAAGAAGGATACTGTGATCGACTCGATCAAAGGCTTTGGATATATCCAAGTAACAGGCATGTACAGTAACTCCCGCATCGACTGCTCGTGTCCAGTCATCGAGTGTCACGAGGAGATTGGATAAACAAGAACGATTCTGTCGAAATCCGTGTTGTTTATCGCTCAACAAGGAGTGAATTTCAAGGTGCGATTTCAGGGCTTCTGCTATAATTCGTTCCATTACTTTTGATATTACTGGGAGAAGAGTGACAGGTCTGTAGTTAGATGCACACGTTCTGATACCTCCTTTGAATATGGGGGCTATTATCCCGCATTTCCAATCCTCTGGTACCAACCCTTCTTCCAGAGAACTAGCGAACAGTTTAGCCAGAGGATAGCTAAGTGGTTCAGCGCAGTGGCGCAGAAGCAGTGGTGTAACGCCATCCCCACCAGGTGAAGTGTGTACCTGTAAGCCGCGAAGGTGTTTGACAATGTTAGCCCGATCAATATGCACGTCCGATAAAGTTTCGTCCGTTAGTACCTCCACAGTTTGTATAGGAGCGCGGGTATCTTCAGGAGAAAACACGGAAGCATAAAATGTGGCAAGGGCATTAGCTGTTTCAAACGCATTTGCAGTCATTCCCGATTCTGTCTTTATGGCAGATATACCTGGTTTAACTTTAGCCTGCGCATTCACGAATTGATACAATAGTTTGGGGTTTTTCTCCATCCTAGTCATCAATTTGAATTGCTGTTGTAGTTTGTCTTCCTTGATTAGTGACGTGACTTTATTCCGCAACTTTCGGTACGACTCCCAGTGTTCGTCGGTCCGGTTCGTTTTATATTGAAACCAAGCGATGTTACGTTCTGTAATCCATTTTCTTGTTCGACTCCTCACTGTGAACATCTGTACGCAGGTGGCTCGAGGCACCTCTGTCGAATTGTCTGCAATCAAGGTCTGCAGCTGGGCTATGAATGATTTCCATCGCCTATTAGTATTTTCGTGTTCGTCATCCAGCATATTTAGGTCCTGGAAGGCTGAGATTATCTCCCGAAAATTGGTCTTCAGAACATATTTATGTGGGTCGCTTAAACGTACGGAGGAGCAAGTGAAATCGAACAAGAGCACGAGATGGTCGCTCTTTCCCAGTGGTGGTCTATATATGATTTGTTCAACCATAAATGGCTCACTAGTTAGTATAAGGTCAAGTAACGAAGGTTGATCTGTTCCACGAAACCTCGTACATTCGTTAACATGGTTGAATAAAGGTACCAAATCTAACAGCTCCTGAAAGTGTGCTTCAACTGAGTTGAGCGAGTATGAAGCGACGAAAAGCTGGGGAAAATTGAAATCACCCATAATGAGAATGGGAATGGAGTAGTAAGAGCATACGCGACGGATTCGGTCACATATACTGAATGTGTGAGTGTCCATTGCGGTTGGAGAGCGGTAAATGACACCAATAATGCACGCATCTATCTTGTTTGACTTCAGCATACACCAGAGGGTATCTTCAAGGATGAGATTAGCGTCAGGTATTTCAGCACATTGAAGACTACTGTCATAATATAGTGCAACTACACCGCCATGGGTGGCTCGATCGTGTCGTATAACACTCATGTTTGTAATTTCGATTTCCTTGTCCGATATTTCCGCTTGCAACCAAGTCTCAGTCACTGCCACCAAGTGAGGTTTGTATTGGTCGCAAAAGGCGTTTAATTCTGCCACTTTACTGGGCAGACATTGGGTATTTGTATAGAGGCACTTAAGGCTAGTCGTTGTGGTTAATTCTGCTGTGCTGCAACGCACGACTCCCGGGGAGCCAGCAGTGATTCGTTTTTTGGTAAATCGTTTTTTGACCCCAATTTTTCCATCATAGTCTGAATACCAACCGTGGTTTGTTGGTATTCATCAGTGATCGTTTGCGTTTGAATAGTTCCTATTTCGCCAGTCCGAATCGTATCAGCAGATGCGTTTGAGCGTTTAGGTGAGCTTATTCTCAGTTCCCTCGGAAGCAAATTACGGTGCCTTCGCCACTGAGCTTTCACCAAGTTGGCCATTTCGGCACGAAGAAATGTCAGCTTTAAGGGTCTAGGAATGCTTCAGCTATCACGATATTCGAATTATCTTAGTGTATCCATAAGGCTACTGAACTTTTCGAGTGTTTATGACCAGTTTTGCGGAGAGATTCGGCTCGAATTCAGTTGAATCTCTCACCATCAGTGTAATTCTCAGGGCAACACCTGTGAAATTTAAAAACGAACATATTTTGCTGACTGCATTCAACATGAGGGCTGATTTTGCGAAATTCATCGACGTACCTTGGCAATTCCTTTCGCCCCCAAGTACCTCTCTACATTGTCGACGCTAGTGATCGTTTGGTTTTGACGGTAGACTCACCTGGAAGCCGTTTATGATGTCTTTAGGCAACTCAATCTTCAGCATCAGGTCGCCTAATGTATCAGCTTCTACGACATTAGGGATATCGCGATACCTTGTAGAGACGTAATGCAATACACAAGGTTGCTGCAAACTCTTTGAGTAGCGCATTACGTCTGTTCAATGTAACGCGATATGCATGTGGGGGGTTTTGCTGGAGGTATATTTTTTACATCACTATCGTTTTGAACAGTCCTGGAGCAATTATTCATGTGAATCCACGCCCAAGGGGGTGGGGGTGAGAAGCACTGGACTCGAGTTTCACTCTTGTTAGAGCTCATCAGTAGTGCATATCCAATGGCTGTGCCGGGGGGGGGCAGGTTGAACTCCGGTTACCTGACATCCGAGGCGAACGTGTTACCACTATTCCACCAGCGCAAGTTGAACGGGCGAACGTGTTCTCACTTGAGCGATGTGATTAATATGCCCGACACATCATTGATACGACGACTCTGTAACTGTCCTGGTTGCGACGATCGACTGGCCCGCTTGTCAGGACCCCTCAGTCAGGTAGTGCCACAGACGCTTGAAGCCGGCTGGACACCTTTTGTTGATGCCCGTTCAGACGTGAGAATTCAGATGCGTCCAACGTGCGCTGGTGAATTAGTGGTAACACGTTCGCTTCGCATGTCAGGTGACCGGAGTTCAAACCCCTGCAGGGCCTTTGGATATGCACTGCTGATGAGCTCTAACAAGAGCGAAACTCGAGTCCAGTGCCTCCCCCCTTTGGTGTGGATTCACCAGAATAATCGCATCATGACAGGAGGACGTCTGTTCAAAACGATAGTGATGTGAAACTAAACAGTATCGCCATACCTCAAATATCGCGCTAACGGAAACCTGCGGTTGTTCGGTGCAGCACAACCAGTTGCTTAAAAACGTCATAACCGAAA